AACCATGTAAGAAGTAGAACCATTTGTCAAACAATAAATTAACAACGCAAACAGGGATGTAAATAGTTAAAAGAAAAACTTATATCGTGGTGCATAGAGCAAATAAACCTAGTGTCTTGAACAATTTAAGTAGTCACACAATACGCCTTAGTAAAAGATCATAAATTTCTAGGTTACTCATGGAAATAGTATAACCTGTGGTAAAATGATAACTATTTCGACAACCAATTTAATCAACATTCGAATAAGTCAATTTGCAATAATAAAAGATAGGTGCACCAAGTCTCAAGCCATAAATCATGGGTGAAAGAGACTTCCAAGATCTAGTAAAAAGATATGACATCAAAATTCAAATAAATGTGTACATGTGGTGCACACATGAACATAGAAACCAACCATACATCATACTCCCTCTATCCCTTAAAACTTTGTCAACTTTCCCTTTAAAATAAAAAATTTATGGTTCCATTTAATTCTCTCTATGAGTCTCTCCTCTGCACAAAACTCTACCACAGAGTTTTTACTTTATTAATCCTCATGCCGGTCAAACTTGACAAAATTTTAAGGGACGGAGATAGTAAATAATATCAAGTCTTGTTATGATGATGTATTGCAACTCACTTGCTATACTCTGGTACTCAATAATATCTATCAAAGGTTCCTCATTAGTAAGAAATTACATGGCACGAGAAGGAGGGGCACAAACATGTTTACCGTGTGAAGATGAAAATGACGCTGAAGACCACACACACATTTCCATTAAGATAGATATATTTTGTGAAGGGAACGTACAGTTTGTATGCCTGAAAATAGTGAATATCAATCAAGGGAGGATCTAGGTAAGGGCAATAGGGGGCAAAATCCTAGAGCAACTTGCGTTTTTTCTGTTGGAAAAATGTGTTAAATATTGCATTAAATGGTGATTTTGGGGCAATTATTTGAGTGGGGTCCACTTCCGATTTGGGTCGGGTTAAAGTGGTTTCGGATTGTCCTTGTTAAGGGCTACAATTCGATATATGGTACGCTCAAAACGGATAACGAGTGAATGAGAAATTGACTCTCGAAGTTCACTCGTCGAAATGGAAAAACTGGGAAAATGATGGGTTTCTAGTGTGTTTTATCCCACATCGGAAAACTCAAGGGATTTTCACCCCCTTATAAAGGGAAGTCTCTTTTAAGGAGTTAAGATTCCTAAAGGTAAAGGCTCTCTCTTACGCGCAGGGGGGGGTGCCGATCAAATCCTGAAATGGAGAAGAAAAATTGCGACTCGTGTGCGCGGGCGACCCGCGGACACGAATGCCGTCCGAAAAATCTATCATTCAAAGACGCTCGAGGTCTTCTGTTCGCAACAGAGATGCTCGAGGCAATAAATGCCCAACGTTCTTCTCTTTTAATGCTGCGTTAAATGGACAGTTTATGGACGATTCAATGCCCAGCGGACTGGTCATTGATGTCCAACGTTCAGGTCCATTAACACCCCATTTAACACACAACAATCCTCCTATAAATAGCTGGTAGGTGGTTTGCAACAAGACACAACGCACAATACATTCCTCACGTTTTCTTGAGCTAAAAATACTTCCAGCTACTCCGAAAATTCCCAAGTGTTCTGCTATTGTTCCAGCTCGCCGGGACTTTCGTTTGTGTGCTCAAACGATCGTTCGTAAGCCACCGTATCCTGGGAAACGGTCGTTGCAACGCTCCTAGCACCGTGGGAGGCGACGAATACGTTTTAAGAACATCGTGCGTAGCACGAGCTCTGGCTAAAATCTGCTCCATGTTATTTTCTGTTTTCTTTTAGCTATTTTATTTATTAATTAATTTTATTTGATTAATATTTCTTCATTTTGCCGAAACACACCCAACATTTTCAACCGTTGAGTAATTTTTTTCATTTTTCATTACTAGTCTGTTAATTACTTTTGAACAAATTTCAACCTAGATTTTTTTGTCCCTAAAATCAGATCAACCAAGTCCTTTATAGCAAATTGACATAAAATCGTATGAATGAAGGTCGTGACAAGAAATGTAGAGTTGCCCATGATAAGGATATCATCAACATATAAAAAGTATAGAAAATTTGGGATGGACAATGATAAATAAACATGGACGAATCAAACTTCCTCCGAAAACAACCATGACGAAGAAGAAAGCCACTAAATAATGAAACTAGGCCCTCAGAGCTCATCTAAGACTATATAAAATTTACGAAGGTGACAAATTTCAATCAGGTATAAAGAATGAATAAACCATGAAGGTTGCTTCATGTAAACTTCATCAATGAGAAAATCATGAAGAACTACATTTTTTACATTTAACTGATAGACAACCCTTCAATTAAACATAAATTACGATGACCAGAGTATTTTACTTACAATGTCACATTTTTGTAAAACAACTCTTATTTTGGTCGTATAAGTGTGATTATTATTTCTAATTAAAACAAGTTTTAATGTACAGATGAGATGCAAAAGCCAAAACTACCCATTAGAAAAAACAATGCTGGAACAATACAGGCCTCTCGGTTCTTTTTACTCCAGTCCACCACTCCACCACACGCCCCTGTAGCCCGCCCCCTCTAAATCAGACAAGATTCACGTTACAACTTTGCTTGGTGTACACCTTTTGTGTACACCTTTTGTGTGGACAGACAACTCGTGGGACAAATGGACGGGTGTACACAAGCATTTTTCTTCCTAGCCTCCTCCGCGCACCACAAATCTTACTAGGCGCACCCTCTTTTTCCCTTTGATGGACAAATTTGTCCTCTCCCAAATTTGAACTCTAGTATGTAGCGCACCAAACTCAACTCCTAGTATGTAGCGCACCAAAAACCAATCAAAAACCAATCTCCTTATTGTGGCTTTTTAAGTTAAAAAAAATAGGTTATCATGTTTTCTTAAATTTTGTTTTAACCTTATTTTGAAAAAAATGATTCTTAAATATGCTCAAAATTTTAATATAATCAGGATTATGAATTTTAACTATTGTCAAACAATTACTATATAAATATCTGTAACACGGTGTAATGCTTTATTTTTTTATTTTACAATTTTCTTTTTACAATGGATGATGAATTTGAAGATTATCTAAAATATAGTAATCTTGAATTTCAGACAGGGGCGGACCATTGTGAGGGCAGGGGTGGGCTCCAGTCCAGCCCACACTTTTTTATTTTTATTAATATAGGTATAGATTTAATGTCCAACCCACCCCAAAATGTTCATACTGACGAGATATTTATTTATTTGTTCCGTTATTTGTATTTCAGGTTTTTATCTGTTTCATTAAGTTTGTTGCATATAATATTCAGTGATATTTGGGCGGTCACATACACTTTTTCCTTCATCCTTTTATTAATATTGTCTTTACTCTACTATCATATAATTAAACTTGGATGTTTTTGATTAGGGTGATTTCAATCTCAGAGCAGACTAGACGTAAAGAGAATAGACCTAACAAGATTTCGATGGTTGTATTAATGTTACAGTTATGTCTCCTTGGGATACTGTAGTTCTATGATTATAAATACTTCCTCTACTTATCCTAAAATGGATCCGCCCTCTGAATAATAATAAGCTCTTTTCCATGAATATTACTAAATTAAATTCAAAAGACAAAAATATTACTAATGTTTTCCAAAAAAGTGACATGTTTAGTGACTAGTTTGTAGTGACTCATCATCTACCGGTGACTTTTCATTCTCACTTTATTCTTATTTTATCAATTTAATATCAACCACATAATTAAATTCACTTTTATTTGTAACCGTGACACTTTTTAATGTCTCAATGTTAGTTGGACGGAGGTAGTAATATTTAAGGAAAAACCTAGTACATAAACATCTAATAAAAAATACAACCTCCAATTATTAGTCTCAATTTTTTTTGGGATCACCTAACATGAATATATATATGACTTCAGAGCCAAAAGGAAAACAAAGATAAACACGATAAAAATGTAAGATATGATAAAAAGAAAAAAATGTAAAATAGAGATTATATATATATATATATATATATATATATATATATATATATATATATATATATGATACTATTCTCGGTTCTTTTTTAGTTGCAACATTCACTTTTTCACACTTACCAATACACAACTTTGACTATCATTATATTTATTTCCCTATTAGTAAAAAGATTTTAAAAATCAAATTATGAAACTTTGTAATGAGACGAATTCAACAATATTTTTCAAAAATAATAATTCACATATATTAATAAATAAAATGTAGTCAAAGTAGTGTACATAAATAGTGTGTAAATATCAATGTTGCAACTAATATGATACGGAGATAATAATAAAAAAGATTTTTTTTCAAAAGTTTATAAATGCAATATATGTAATTATTTAATTCATATGTACCACATTTTATAAAAAATTATTGTTAGACACATTAAAAAAGGATATTTGCACATTAAAGAATTAAAGAAGTGCGTGCCATGGCATTTGTTCTTTTTTTAAGAACTAATTATACCGTCAAGAAGAAACCTCAGTTAAAAAAATAAAGGGGGCAATATGGTCTAGATGTGATTTAACCACTTACGTTAAATCAGCCGCGACGCAAACGCTACCCGTTGTTTCCTCCATCTGCCCCGAACTCTTTTCCATCAAACCTAGGGTTAAGGCCGATTCCCGGGTTCCACCTCGAAGATGATGCATCAAGGCGGCATCGTCCCTCCACCAATGGCTCCGATGTCTGCAGATCCGTCGCAGCAACAGCCTCAGTCGCAGTACCAACAGCTACCTCAGCAGTGGATGATGTATCCTCAGCAGCCGATGATGCAGCCACAGCATACGCCCGCCTGGACTCAACCGCCGCCGCCTATGTCGCACACAGTGCCTGCTCCATATCAAACTCAGACGCCGCAACCGTATGCGGCTGCGTACCCCGGCACAGCTTCCGTGCCATCGTCCACCCCCACCGAAGTGAAGTCTCTTTGGATCGGGGATTTACAGCACTGGATGGATGAAAGTTATCTCAGTGGTTGCTTCGCTCATACTGCAGAGGTGGAGCTCATTCCTCTTTTATCGATGTTTCCTTTTTGTATAGTATTTTATTTATATTACTATTTGTTAAATTCCGATTCTCTGATAATTGTCAAAAAACAGTTTTTCAGTGATAGTACTTTTTTTTCAGGTGAATAAGTTTTTCTTTTTACGTTAATGGAAGAGTACCAAATTAACTTTTTATTTTTGTTTTTGTATCGCCTATATAACTATTTGGTCATTAGAGATAAAGTTTATAATTTTAAGAATATATCAAACCTACCTGTTTCTGGTTTCAGATTGCTTCTGTGAAGGTCATCCGCAATAAACTTACTGCTCAATCAGAGGGCTATGGTTTCATTGAGTTCAGGAGCCGTGCAGCAGCTGAGTCCATCTTACAAACATATAATGGATGTTTGATGCCAAACACAGACCAAAGTTTCAGGCTGAATTGGGCATCCCTTGGAGCCGGCGAGAGGCGGGACAGCACGCTTGAACATACCATTTTTGTTGGAGATTTGGCTGCAGATGTGAATGATTATTTGCTACAAGAAACATTTAAAGCCGTGTACTCATCTGTGAGAGGTGCCAAAGTTGTGACTGATAAGACCACTGGACGGTCCAAGGGTTACGGATTTGTCAAATTTGGGGATGAGAGCGAACAAGTTCGAGCCCTCACTGAGATGAATGGAGTGCTTTGCTCAACTAGGCCCATGAGAGTTGGTCCTGCTGCTAATAAACAACCTGTTGGTGTGCAGCAGAAAGGTAGGTTCTTTACTTCCTATGGCACTTGAATATTAATATGCCTGATGGAGTGATTGTATATCAAAGAAATATTAGCCCTCCATACTTTATTCTTTTTGTTTCATTTCAGTTTGCTCAAATTGCTCTGTGTGTTCTAATAGTGCTTAAATTAGCTCTTGTTGAAGCAGTGAGGAATTTCTTCTTGAAGATCGAATTTGAGTTTATATTTATAGAGCTTTACGTTAATTGCGCTTTCAGTCATACACTTGAAGATTCGCAGAATTTACGAAGTCATTACTTTCCGTTCTTTCCTTTCTAAACTTGGGCAGCTTTAAGTTATCTCAAAACTTGCTCAAACTTATAAAAGTCATGTTGTCTCAAAGCAGGAAACAGAGAGGCTCTCGTATATGGGGGCCTGGAACTGATTTCAGCTGAAATGAATACCATTTAGTGCGTGGCGTCATTTTAGGTCAGTTAATTTGTTTTATGCCGTTAGCTTCCTTCAATTTCTTGTGGCATTTCTTAAGCTACACCAAGTTGCTCTCCAGTTCCTTTTGAATTACACACCCAATTAGAATTTAATTTTAGGATTTTCAAGCATTAAATTTCCTTCTTACTCATTCCAGTTCTTATATCCTTACATTTCATTTTTCCTTTACTTTCGCATTCATAGAGTGAATCGTTTTCTCTTGTTAAATATTGCTGAAGCAAGCTGCTCAGTTTTTCATTTTGTTTTTCTAAGTTTCAGCTTATGGGACATGTCAAGTTTTGAAGTTTGTTCGTTGGTCATTAGGAATGGATAAACAGAGTTTAAAGTGAAATAAATGGTTAGTATGGGCTTGCCATATTTAGACTTGTACCCTTTTATGGAAGTTAAAGATCTGCTAATGATGGTCCATTTTATTGAGAAAATGGATAATCCTTCACACTTAATCAGAATCCTAGAACTCTGTTGTGCCCTATGTTGTGTTGGGGTTGATTATGTTTGATTCAAACTTTTTCAAAGGAAAAAGTGCTCTAAAGGGACAGGTTTCACTTTGCTTTAAAGTAAAATAAAAAGGAAATGACCAAGTGAAGTGTTGCTTTCACACAAAAAGCAGCATTTGCGTAAAAAAGAAAATAGTTATATTTAGTGCATATAAGTCTGCTGCATTAAATGACTTGTACACAATACACACATATGTATGCATATGCCTTACATTTTAATAATATTAAGGACAAAGACAAACATCTAACCATTATGACTATCTTTTTTCTCTCTTTATTACTTTTTGATTTGATGAATTTCTCGTCCCCATCTCCCATGTTCTAATAACTTTTCTTTTTTGCTGTGATATCATTGATCGATTCATGTTAGCTGACCCCAAAATATTTTGGGAATAAGGCTTGAATGTTGTTGGAACTTCTCATCTGTTTATCTCTCTTTGTAACTACAAAGATGGTTCACTTTTCTTGATAAGTATCTTGTGCTCAAGTGCTCAACTCATTTTCTTATTCGTACAAGACTGGGCGTTTTTGAACAAGACAGCAAACGGGTTTGATTTTAAAGTTGTATTTCTATTATTAAGGAGAAATTCATAGGCGAATACATTCTTAGAATAATATAGGATATGATAACAACAACATCCCAGCCTTAATCTTGAAAGAGTTTTAGGTCGGGCAACATGAATCGTTATAGGACATCGGAGTTAAAATCAATAAATTGAGAAAAAGGGATATGATAAAGACAAATACATACAGTGTGTATGTTTCACTAATTTAAACTTCTCAAAATGGTATGGTCTTTTGGGGCATTTTGATAAGTTTTTCTTTGTTCAAATAGAATATCCCCACCGATAAAAAAGAAAGAATTGATAAAGGGGTAGAGGGAGTTTACGTCGGCCGGCCGTAGAGGTTCTCACCGGAGGGGATATACGCATCCGTATGACCACCACACAAAGAAGACAGTGTTGTATACACAGAATATTAGCAAAAGAAAATGGGAAGAAAAGAAGGTAGTCATGGATAGATCAAGTAGTAGAAAATAGAATATAGATCAAGTAATAAGACAAGGAAGAAGATGAAGTTTAAATTTACTTTACATGGATTGATCAAGGCGAGAAGAGGTTTAACAATTGAAGAGGTTTAGCAATTGAAGAGGTCTGATGCAATAAGCCTGGAAAGTGTCTCAGCCAAGACCAAAGTGAGGAAAGAGTGTCGCTTTCTCAAGCATCTGCCTTCTGCGAAAGCCAAACTCATATGAGGAAAAAGTGTCTCCTAAGCACGTTTTTGACAAGTTTGATCGGATGTCATTTTTTGCCCCATGTTTGGTAAGGGTGGAAAGTAGTAATGTTAAATTGATGAAAACTGCATTGTTAGAAGTACATGCATAGTAGTTTTGATTAACATAATTATAAATGTTTGCTGTACTAAAGGAAATCAACTCCATTGATTTAGGATTTTGCTGTTGTTATGATAATCTCTGAAACTTCTGTCATTTCTTTTGTGGTCTGGGCTCATTTTCTGTAACATTGTTATTTACTGTTTATATGTGCTGCAATCTTGTTGCATCACTCTTCTCAATACATGTTGCTGTCTTATGCCAATTGTGACTACTATTTCAGATCCCCGCAATTGTTTTCAGTTATTGGATGTTAAAAGTTAATGTGGTTTATTGTTTTCAGATTATAGTTGAATTTGATCTTTGCAACACTACTATTCTGTTTTTCAAATCCTGGTATTATCTTCTCTTTTTTTTTGATTGCAGTCTCATATCAAAACCCTCCTGCAAGTCAAGGCGAGAGTGACCCTAATAATACAACAGTGGGTAGCTTTTTTGAGTAGTTTCTATTTTCAAATGTACTCTGCTTAACAGGCACTACAATGAACAGATATTTGTTGGTGGATTGGATCCCAATGTTACTGAGGATCTTTTGAGGCAAGTTTTTTCCCAGTATGGTGAACTGGTTCACATTAAAATAGTTGCTGGAAAGCGTTGTGGATTTGTTCAATTTGCTACCAGGTAATAATGATGCAGTTTTCAGATTAAAAATTTTGCTAGGTTTGGTACTCAGAAAATATTGATAAAGAAAAAACAGGATAATTTCACCTTTGGTCTCGGGAATATTTAGTTTATTTTGATTATAGCTCTCAAATTTTCCATTTTTTGTATTTGGTGTGTGACTGGATTAAAGCAAAATGGCTCACTAAATTGTGTGCACTTCTTTGTTATGAGCATCAGTCAATCCATGCTTTAGTACAGGGGTAGGACTGCGTACATCCACCCCGCTTACCCTACCGTAGGTGGTAGCCTTTGCGTTACTGGGTTAATGATAATGATGATGGTGTGTGATTGGATTTCTTTTCATTATTAGTCCTTCCAGACACCTATTCCGCCAATTTGATTAGAACTCTCTGGTTTCATTATTGCTAGATAAGAGATTAGAGAACTGAAACTGGCAAAAAATCCATGGTCGCCTTCTAAAATGAGAATAGATCAAAGTTGTGGATCAAAACTGAAAAAGACCTTAATTTAGGCCAGAAAAGGGAATGTTGTCTGAAAATATAAAAAAGGAAAAAGGGTCAGATAAGCCCGCGTACTATTGTTCAACCGTCACATAAGCCTATGAACTTAAAAAAGAGTCAAATAGGTACACTTACTCTTTAAAATACGTCACATGGGTCAAATGACCGGTTATTAACTTGGAACTCCCGGTAAAGGCTCGGGATGTGGGTCCCTTCCAGAGATCCCTTGTCCATGAACTCGAGGAGGACTTGGATTTTGCTGTTGTGATTGGACATATCGTGACATGTAACGATGTTGGGGTCGTTGACGTACTGGAGGATCTCAATCTCACGGCGCATCTGCAGGCGGACGCCGTCCTTGTGGTGGCCGGGGATGACCATCAGCGCGTACAGCCTGCCGCTCGGCCGGTGGAGCACCTTATACACTGTACCGCCGATCCCACTCCTGACGCGGGTTATGCGCTCCAGCTCGGAGAACTTGAGGGGCGTGATCGAGAGAGAAGAGCGGGATTGGGTTGAAGAAGGGGCGGAAGTGGGCGGTAGTGGAAGAGGGACGGTTAATCTCGGGTCACGCTGCGGCGGCAGAGGGAGGGTCAAGTCGGGTTTCAACAGTTGGCGGTTGCGGTGTGCTGGCGGTGGTTGTGGCTGATTCGGGGTCATTGGCAATTGCTGCTATCTCTCTATGGCTTGACACGAATTGGCGGAATACAGTGTCTATTTTGAAATTGAAATCCTCTACTGAAAATAGCAATTTGGAAAGTTCTTATTCGGGAGAAACGAGAAATGGGAAGAACAGTACATGGCGGAATAAGTCAAAAAGAGTCGCCGAAGAGAAGTTTGGGAGAACGGAGCCGGAAAACACCGGCAAAAGAGAGGAGGAAGAAATTATTTTCCAGATTTTGTTTTAGTGATGAGAAGATTAATAGACTGTGATTGTGAAGTGGGTCTGGTTTGGGATACGTAATCTTTTACCGGGATTTTCAAGTTAATAACAGGTCATTTGACCCATGTGACGTATTTTAAAGAGTAAGTGTATCTATGTGACTCTTTTTTAAGTTCATGGGCTTATGTGACGGTTGAACAATAGTATGCGGGCTTATGTGACCCTTTTTCCTATAAAAAATGATAATAATTTTTTCTATGTTTTGTTTTGCCCTTGAAAAGTACTATGTAGGATGCAATAATCAAATTCGATCCTTTATCCTTTCCTTTATAAACTAGAAAATTTTCTAATAATGAGTTCGGATATATGTGTGTGTATACACACACACACACACACGAAAAGATCACCTCAAGTAGTTCTGACGGGAAGTCCTGTCTGAATTTGTCTATCAGAGGGCTTTCCCGATGAAATACTGCGTTTTTCGTGTACATTTTGGCGCAGTGATTTTCTATAATTCATTTAATGGCCTTACGGATTGAATTTTAAGCTGAAATTTGGTGGGCAGAAACTAGACTTTAAGGAGAACATGCTCAAAAAATTTCATTAAAAAATTCCACCGGGAAGGCCCTCTGATAGGCAAGTTCAGACGGGGCTTCCGTCAGAACTACCTGACAGGATCATTACTCTCTCTCTCTCTCTCTATATATATATATATATATATATATATTGATGTGTTAAGTGAGCTTCAATAAATTTTTCCCCGCCAAATTTCTTTTCTGCCATCTTTCCATAGTCTTTTTAATTTCTGAATTGACCCTTATGTTTTTGCAAGATCTTGTATCTCATGTACTTCTTGTGTGTCTTCTGTCCAGGGCTTCTGCGGAGCAGGCCCAATCAAGTTTGCAGGGCACAGTGTTAGGGGATCATAGCATTCGACTTTCATGGGGACGTAGTCCTTCTAATAAACAGGTAAATAACTGCCTTTTCCCCAAGTGTGGAGAGGTTGTCTACATTTTTTGTTTCTTTTATCTTGAGTTTTCTTTCTCTGTAGTCATCAGAGCAGACAAAATGGGGCGGTTCCTATTATGGATATGGGCAAGGGTATGAAGCTTATGGATATGCTCCTCCTCCACAAGACCCAAATATGTTCTATGGAAGTTACCCTGGATTTTCAAACTATCAACAACCCCGCCAGGTAAATATCATGGATGCAATCATGTTTTGTTATTCTAAGAAATTTTCAATTTTGTTTTTATCCCAAGTCTAGTAGGGTTTGTGGTCTTGGCCCAATAGTAAATATTACCTCCACCCCCCATTTTCATTGAATTATCCTCTTCATTTCAATTTCAAATTACGCATACAGGAACTAAGAGAGTACATACAAATGTACAGTATAAGTATACACACTAAAGGTTAACTGTTATTTCACTTTAGCAGTGATCTGCTGCTACATGGTTTAGGCTGGATTTGACACCACTTCACCAGTTATGTTGAAGTATCAAGTTTGGTTTACTGGATAGCTTTACGCCTTTACAATTGTGCTGGGCATGTTACTGTTCTTTTTATCACCCCACTCCCCCTCTTTTCCATGTTGAAATTAATAACTGCAAGTGTGTACTTGAGCAATATGAACAAGTGTTTTTGAATTCTGCTTGTACCAGTGTTTTTGTGTGTATTCTACATTTTAGTGTGTATATTCACCTTATTTGAATGATATATTATTAGTTATATACTCCGTATTATATATGGATGTCCTCTATGGTAGATTGGTAGGGCGTACTTTTATACCAGTAGGCTATGAAAGTACGGCCCAACTCTTTACTGTCTTGAAAAGATCTCCGGTACCATACACGTTCAATTTAGGGATGGACTCGGGTCCGGGCCGGGTCCGGGTTGGGCCTAGGCCCGGGCGGGCCGGCGGTTCAGAAATGGTGGACCCGGGACCGGCCCGGGTAACCACCGGGTCCGGGCCGGGCCGGACCCATTATCAATTATTTTTTTTGTTTTCCTCTTCCTAATTAACCCCCTCCCACCCCAAATGGACCAAAATACCCAGCCCAACCCGAAAATTTAAAAAAAATTGAGAAAAAAAAAATAGGTTTTGGCTCGAACTGGGCCCGGCCGGGTCAGGCCGTGTTTTGGGTGACCTGAGCCCGGACCGGAAAACCCACGGGCCGGGCCTACCCGGACCGGTCACTGACCGGGCCACCGGGTTGGGCCGGGCCGGAACAGTACCGGTCCCAGGCCGGTTACGGGTCGGGCCACCCGGTTCCGGGTCGGGCCACCCGGCCCGAGTCCATCCATAGTGAACTTATTGCTTTCAAATTTTATAATACTACCTCTCTCCCTTAAAAGTTTGCCAAAGTTGACCGGCACGGAGAATAATAAAGTAAAAATTGTTTGGTTGAGGTTTGTGCAGAGGAGGGAAATAATAGAAACTACAAAAAGTTTGATTAAAAGGGAAAGTGACAGTTTTTTGGAACGTTCAAAAAAGGAAAGATGACAAAGTTTTAAGGGACGGAGGGAGTAATAAAATTCCTTTAAATGAAAGGGCTTTCATCTTTACTAAATGTACTTCACAATGAACAAATAGTTGCATACATCATAATGTTAAAATAAAAATATTTAGACTTTGGATGTTTTGTTTTGGATTGAAATTTGCTGATCTGGTCTGGTCAAGTAAATGCTTGAGCTCTGTGTATTTTATTACTATAGAAGTTTGGTTTGATCTTGGTTGGTCTGGGACCGAAAACAGTTCAAAAGAAAACATTTAAAGTACATATTCCAATACATGTATCCTTGTTCATATATTCATTTACATTGTAACAATATATGTCATCTATTTATATATTCTATCCGTTCCAATTTGTAAGATACTTTAAAGCAAATTGATCTTTGTTAACACTCAAATTAGGTTTAGAAAATAAAGTTTATATATTCAGAAATTAAATTAAAATCGTTATAAAATCTGCAAAAGATAATTCAAACTTCATAAACTTTTGATATATAAAGTAAAATATTAAAAATGATTTATGTTGATTAAGTGAATAGTAAATGTATTTTACAATTTGAGACTAGGGGTGGACTGGGGCTGGACTAGGAATGGACTCGGGCCGGTTCGGGCCCGGCCGGGCCTCGGTTCTAGGAAGGCAGGCCCGGAACCGGCCCGGATAACCCCGGGTCCGGTTCGGTTCGGGTCACCCGCCCGGCGGGCCGGGCCGGGCCGGGCCTATTTAATTTTTTTTTAATTATTATATAATTAGAATAAATCTTATTACAATTACAATATATTATATTCAAATTGAAGTATATTTATTTCAAATAAGAAGTACAATTGAGAATTAGGATGAATTTAAAAAATGTAATACATTTTGTAATAAAAAATCAATCGGACTCTCCGCCTTCGGTTGTTTCCTCCATAAAGTGACGGGAGGGAGTGATGGTAATTTCTTGAGTTCTTCGTTGGGCCTTCAACCAATCGTGAAAGCAAACTAGTGTCTCAAGAGAGCTCGGGCTCAACCTCGTTCTAAAATCTGTTAGGACGTTGCCGGCCGCACTGAATTCTTGTTCCACGGCAACGGTTGATATCGGCATTGCTAGTACTTGCTTAGCCATCTTTGATAAAATCGGGAATGTTCTTTCATTTTCCTTCCACCACTTAAGAACGTCAAAGTCATCACCAACTTCATAATCAACATTCAATGTTAGATACAAAGAAAGCTCGTTACCTGAGCTTTGTTCAGTAGCGGGAGTTGCTCTACTTTTTTTCAAAAGAGAACCAAAAGCGGATTTTAAAAGTGATTTTCCTTTAGATGAAGAAGATGTTCGTTGCATGGGAGGGGGTGCATTACCATATTGTGCATGAAATTCATTATACAATTGATGAAATAAATTACTAACCTCGTTGAATTCTTGTTTAGGGTCGATGGGATTATCATCGAACTCTCGAGTTGGAAAAAAAGAAGCATAATAGTAATCTATACAATTTGCCAAGTAAGGAAGTTTATAACGAGGATCAAGAACAAATGCAATACCATATATATGCGGAATATGTGAATAATATTTTAAAAACTTTTGTTTCATGAAATCACAAAAATAACTAACGTAAGCGGCGTCGGAAAATTCACAAAAAGCGCCGGCGAGATTAACAGCTTCAACAAAAAATTCGTTTGCGGTAGGTTTATAAACATGACTAAAAGTTAGAGTTGCGTTATTAAAATATGCCAAAACATTAACAATTTTTTCACAAGTGTCGATGTCAGCCGGGTTTATAATATAGTTACAAGTTTGTCTTAAAAAAGCTGGAAAATGATCTTTATATCTAACAAGTACTTGAATTAAATTATAAGTACTATTCCAACGAATAGACAAATCTTTAGGAAAAGCACAATAATTCACACGTCTATCCTTCAAATATTGCCGCCATTGCATTTTTAGTGGAGTGTTAGCCCAAATCAATTTAATTCCCCCCTTGACTACCTCCAAAGCATTTCCTAATGCCGCTAAGCCATCTTGTACACACAAATTTAGAATATGACATGCACAACGTTGATGAAAAAATCTACCCATCAATGTAGAAGCACCACACAATTCACGTAATCTAGGTATAGCAGCAGTATTATTACTAGCATTATCAAAACCTACAGCAAACACCTTATCAATCAAATTATACTCAATTAAAATACGTTCAATGAGAATATAAATATTATCAGCAGTGTGACGATCATTGAATTCACGAAAAGCAAGAACACGTTTATGCATATTCCAATCATCATCAATATAATGTGCAGTTAGACCCAAATAATATAAATGATGATAAGTATCCTCCCATATATCGCTACAAATACTAACACGTCCATCAAAGTTTGCGAAAAATATTTGTAATTTTTCTTTTTCCAAGTTATATTGCCTTATAACTTCTTTTTTAATCGTTTTGCGACTATAATTTCTAAATTGAGGATTTAAAGTACCTTGAGCATAATCTCTTAAAGCAAGACTTTCGGAAAAAATAAAGGGTAAATTTTCTTCAACAATTAAATGAGACATACCAGTCAAATGTTTTTTATCATCATAGGAAAAATTACCAAAGGGTTGAGAATTTGCAAACCTTGATATTTGTGTTTGCTTCCCCTTTTCTTTGTCTATTTTCGCATACTCCACAACGTGGGTGGACTGAAGATGCCTTTTGAGACTCCCGTATCCGCCAGAAATTCCCAAGCTAAACTCTTTCTTGCAATGATTGCAACTTGCGTACCATTTTTCGGTTTTTTCGTCTTTCCTTTTTGTAAAATTGTTTTCAATAATAGCAGATTTAGATTTCTTACCAATTTTGGTTGTAGTCGTTGAAGGGCCCTCGTCCTCTTCCTCATCATCCGGAGTCCCGTCGCCCCCCGCGTCCTCCTCCCCATCGTCATCCTCGAGCTCCTCTTCATCGATGGTTGTCGGGAATTGTTGTTCTTGTGCAAAACGTGGATCATTTTGGGACAATAGGTGTTGTAGTTCCTCGTCGGACATCATCATACCATCTCGCCGTTGGTAATCCGTTTCAAAATCATCTCGACTTTGAAAAGAAGACTCGGCCCGCGCTTTACCTTTGCCTTTGCATGAAGTAGATCGAGTCGATGCAATCTCCCTCTTGCGGTTGCGTTGGAGATTACCCACATCTACAGAATGTCTACCTCGCTCCATATTTAAAATTGAACAAATATTAGCACTTAACTAATATGAGAAATGTAAAAATTAACTAGTTTTGTTATTTTAATGAGATATGTAGCAATTAACTAATATGAGAAATGTAAAAATTAACTAGTTTTTTTTACTTTAATGAGATATGTAGCAATTAACTAATATGAGAAATGTAAAATTGTAGCAATTAACTAATTAACTAATATGAGAAATGTAAAAATGTAGCAATTAACTAATTAACTAATATGAGAAATGCACAAATGTAGCAATTAACTAATATGAGAAATGTAAAAATATAGCAATTAACTAATTAACTAATATGAGAAATGTAAAAATGTAGCAATTAACTAATTAACTAATATGAGAAATGTAAAAATGTAGTAATTAACTAATTAACTAATATGAGAAATGTAAAAATGTAGCAATTAACTAATTAACTAATATGAGAAATGTACAAATGTAGCAATTAACTAATATGAGAAATGTAAAAATGTAGCAATTAACTAATATGAGAAATGTAACAATTAAGTAGTTTAACTAATATTAATATGACAAATGAAACAATTAACTTTAACTACTTTAACTAATATTAATATGACAAATGAAACAATTAAGTAATTAAATAGATAAACGAGAAGTGTATATATAAATCAAATGTATAACTATATATAGTATATATAAATATATAATGTGTAAATATATTATAAGTAATATATAATATAATGTATAACTATATTCTAAGTAATATATAATATAATGTATAACTATATATAGTATATATAAATATATAATGTGTAAATATATTATAAGTAATATATAATATATATGTATAACAATATATAGTATATAATATAATGCGTAAAGAATTATAATATGAATGTGTATAAGTATATATTTATAAGTAGATAATTAATATTATAATATATGAGTAGATATAATAATTATATAAATTATATATATGTAGAAAGAATTTGGAGAAGATGAAGAATGAAGATGATTGAATATGAGAGATTAAGAGAATAGAGAATTTAGATTTTAGAGAGTAGAAAGAGTTGTAGAAG